TAGTCCTAGTTGCGCCACAGACCAGTTAAAAATGAAACAGCCAGCCTAACCAGAAGCACACTGCCCAGTTAAAATCCTAGTTCTTGCAATCATGAAAACAAATTCCATAAATTGGCTATTGTTGATCCAAGACTCAAGCCCAAGGGCACGAGTCTAAAGGTACTCCCACTTGACCAAAGTACCTCTTATTAGATCAATGCGACCATTACAAGATGGTGCAAAATGCATGATTCACGGGGGAAAACCCAACTTCTTCCTTGCTGGGACTATAATATCAAACAATATTCTCTGAGCCACATCATTCTTGTGACACAATCTTAACACGAGGTGCATCCATTTACAGAGAATGATACCAGTCAACTTCTCTTTTACTGTAATGGTGACACGCACAAAGTTGGAGTCTCACGTTGCATCCCAAACCTCAATTACACGTACTTGCTACGTTATAATTTTTTTTTTCCTTGCAAATACGATTTCTCGTCGCAGGTTCTGTCGTTCACAGTTGCTACTATGTCAACATCTACTGGCGGCGCTTGTTTTTGATGTTGCGTGCAGCTTTGTGCAAACAAAAAAGCTGTGCAGTATTCCTCCTCAAAAGCAACCATGTGGCATTTCTCCCAGCATGTTGACACTGTGCAGCGAATGTGAAATGTAAGTTCGCATAGCAGTTGATTGCTTTCATAAAATATGGGTCTTTGATTCGAAGTCTTCCATTGGCATATACATGTACAGTAGATATCTGAAATCACGTATTAAAATGATCAATACACAAGAATTGCATTCAAGTTATGGGCTAATTTCAGTTTCCATCACAAAAAAACATGTATCAAAAAAATAAAGGCGCACATGTACATACATCTACATGTACATGTACTTCATGTGCAACATATTAAACCTATCTTATACGGTTCGCCATTATTCAGTCATATAAAACAGAACTGCATAAATTACAGAGCGATAAATGTGAGTGATGTACATATAGTGGTAGTGTCTGCCTGTTAACTACAGTGTACACCTTTGAAATGTGCAAACTTCACTGTGCACTTCATCTCTCACGGCAGCAAAGCATGTAGCCTACAGTGGCTTCAAGCCCTGCTCTGGTCCGTGGCTGAACAAACCGAATAGCAGGCTGAGCAGATCTGCAATCTAGCTAATAAGCTCCCCGCGGCCATGTTTCCTTTTCCTTGATTGCAGTGAGTCCCAGCAGAATACATGCTTGCGCAAAAACATAAGAGGTCGCTCAATCCCTGCTAAATGGCAATGCTTTGAGCACGGACCTTTTCATTATCACAGGCTGAACAACCAACCATCTCCATGGATTGTGTTCCCATGGTAACCTTTTGTAAACAACAGCACGTACATGTATGCAGCCCAGCAAAAGGCCTTTGCATCTGGGGAAATGAGGTGCCAAACTCAATGTTTCTTAATTTCAGCCAACCAACGAAGACTGCAGACAAGACACTCTTTTAACGAGCAGCAAAATAACGACTTCCAAGAGTGTACCTTCACAAAGCATTGTGATACCAAAACATTTCACTCCAAGGCCGAGGTATTTTGGTTGTACTTTGATAAACGTCGTGCTCCGTTGTGTGAAATCCAAAAACTAACCATTATCACATACAGGAAACTAATGAGAAGTTCCTTCACTTTCGAATGGGTATCTATAAAACACATACATGCATTTCTGTTCTGTACCTGCTACAGTAACCATCCAATTTGTAATTTGAACTGCGTAAGCATCTCATATTGATGACATTTCCGTGCATGATAGCCATCAATCACAGTTTGTTTGGATTCCGCCTGACAATACAGAAGCTGGAGACTGTTTCTCAATTTCACTGCCATAATACTAGCATCAAGATAAGAGCTGATACCTAACTGCGACATGAAACTCATTTTTGGAATTGTTACAAGCATTGCTTTGCAAGTCTGACATGTGCATGGGTGTGGGGTGGTTTAGCATTCAGGAACGGAATGCTGAAACACTTTGTGCTCCGGAACAGTGAACACACAAAATAAAGAAAATGAAAAACGGTCTAATGAAAGTGCAATCCTGAAAGTACCATTCCGTAATTGGCGATTTGGTCTCTGTTGGATGTGGTTGAAATTAAAAAAAAACAAACCATCAACAAGCCCGTAATGTCAAGTTTCTCTTTCTTAACTTTTAACTCTTTAAATCACAGTATGGGGGAGGGGTCACTCCTCTACAACTTATCATGAGTAAGGTTTCCCAGATTTATCAACGGTAATGTTCACTGGCAGGGAACTAAATTTCTTCCCAACAACAGGGGATTGTGCAACGTCTGACATTAAAAGAGAATTCCGGATGTGATCTAAGCCACTCAGAGGGTCAATGTTTAGGGAGTAAGATCATCCATCATCTTCTGTTCATGCAATTTTTTTCCCCATGGGTGACAGTGGAACAAGTATCTTTTGCTCAGATCAGGCACATCTGTGACTATATATATGCCGCAGCGAGAAGGGGGAAGTACAACACAGCCAGGGCATACCGATCAATGAAACACACCCAGGATTTGTCACTATAAGGGGCTCACATCAATATTGCCTGAAAACTGACACATCAGTGCACAACGTCTTGCACACTTGGACTGTAAACTTCATGAGAGGGATGACATGGCTGCAGGCTGCAAAATTTACCTCCTGAAACAGATGGCACGATGTACATCACTGTGATGCTTGTCTTATCCAAAATCTGCGGAGAGCGTTCATTTGCTATGGTTGGAGTCCAGGCCTAATGATACGACAGTTAGGAATTATAGATACGGATAACTCTAGGGGAGCTTTTTACAACGCTATAAAGTCCCTTAGGATGTGCTTGCTTGATTGAGTACGTCTGGCATGAAATACCAAAGTGCTTTTGCAACATTGCCACATACATGTAGCATATATTCATGTTGATGCCAAGTGCAGGGCATCAACAGTGGTCGATTGTGGTCCCACCGTTTTATGAGGAGGTACTTATACACAAAACGAATGGGCGTAGATGTACTGGCAGTTCAATTTTTCTACCACCATCTTGGGTAGGCCACTCATGGAAGGTTATTAGGGGTATTTGAACAAACATAATTTTTGATAGGGGACAACCAATTCAGCCAGGATGTGGTGATTATTAAGAAGGCCGTATTGTCAACATTAACTCCACAAATCAAACCTTACTCGCATTCCTCTCTTGCAGTGTGAATACCAAACCATACTTAATCACTCTGTGTAACCATAAAATCTGATTTCTGCCGCCTGGTAACAGCACCGGTGAATATTGTGATGACCAATCATTTCCAGCAAATCATATTGATTTTAAGGCAGTGAATACCAATGAGTACACTTCGAGTGCTACTTCAGTTCAAGGCTTCAAACGCTGCCCCTACATTAAGCAGATGCACGTGGTGGAGTTTTCAGTGGCGGCCTTCAGTGGGCAAGAAAGCTGCGGAAGGGAAAATGAATCCGGAAGACTAACGGTGAAAAAAAAAAAGAAACAACTATCTATCTGCACTGGTGCCTTGTCAGGAACACTGCAAACATTTCACCTGGGGCATGATAAACCATCACATGTACCTGCACATGTTCTGCACAATCCACTTTGAGTTCAACAATTTCCTTACTCAGGAGACCTTTTTAAAATTTAATTTGTTATGGCCAACATTTCCTTGTTGAGGAGAATAACCATATTTTTGGAGCATCATGAAGCAGATACTGGTGCATAATAAATTTTCTGTATTACAAATATTATTTGATCAGGAACCCCCCCAAATTCCAGTTGGTAATCAAGATATCACGTGTAAGTCTAACTCCATAGCTAGGGTAGAAAGCTATGAATAACCCAATAAGGCCATCGCTGCACTCCTATTGTTTCTATTGTTGTTTTGAATCTACTGGCAAATGCTCTGTGAGGATACCGTTAAATTCACAATCCTGCTGTGTGATTGTTATTTGTAGGTTGTCAATTTTGGCACCGTCTTTGTGGCATCCAAAGTATTCTTAGTAGATCAAATTTTGTGTTTTATGTTCGTTGAATTTCTTTCTTGAGGTAAAGATGAAAGGTGATTTCAACATGATTTATTAAAGTCAATAAAACTTCAAACCCTGCACCGAAGTATCGACAAATTGGTACAGTTCTTATTGCTCAGTCCAGCCAAATATGAATGTAATTCACTGTAACACAGTTCTGGATGGTTTTGACCAAAGTCCATGTTTCAATATTAGTTGAACAGGGGCTAATGTCACAAATAGCACCAGTTGATATACAAGCTCGGCATAATTCATGCTTTTCAATTTGGTAGCACATTTAAATAGGTATGAAAACACACTTATATGCATACCAATCATAAAGTTCTTCTGACATTTTTCATAATCTCATTGGTTTCTGATTCACATAGCCATGTAAAATAATCATATGGGTGCAGACATTTTGAGCATTTTTCAAATCAATTACTTCAAAAGAACAAACTATGCTCACAAAAATCTACATGAATAATTTTTAATTTTACTGTTTGGCATATTTGGTGAAAATATTGAAAGCAGCTTTAATATCATGCATCAACTCATTCACTGGGGGTTTTAAAGACCGGTTCACTGTTTTTTACTGGGAAAACCAAAACAAACATTTCCCACAATGCACTAATGAAATGCAACTCCAATAGTTTTGTATGGACACAGGACAGCATATCTCATAAACTGAATAGATCAAGGGAATTGCATTCCCAAAATATAAAGTTGCCTCAGCATGATGAATTCTTCCTCCCCGAGTAATAAAAAAAATGAAGTCCCCAGTACCAACGTGTCTGCAACAAATAATGTGATTTACCGCTCGAAATACTGAAGTGCATACTTAGGAATGTTTGGAATAATTCAATGGTCTCGCGCCAATTTACGAGTGTGCTGTCTTCATGAGATAGCACGCATGCAGGGCAACAGACGCGCAAATGCGCGCCACACAACACGTGCTTTGAAAGGGTCCACTACATTAACACCTGAGCACTTACTGTTGCGGTTTCCTGTAACACTTGAGATTTCCCATGGCGGTTTCCTGAATTTCGTGGGCACTCTCTGCGGAGATACCAAGCCTTTTTTGCCGAGTCCTCTGCATGGCCTGTTTTGTGACCGGCCTGAGAACCGAGCGGTACTTGTCGAGTTCATTGTGGAGCCGCTGAATGAGGGAATCTTTCTCGTCCAGTTCCAGCTCCAACTCGTCGATGAGATCGTCCCTCTGACGCAACTCTTCGATTTTCTCCTGCAACGCGAACTGCAGGTCCCGCAAAGTGGCCATCGTGATGCTTGCTGCAGCGCCGCTAGAGCCCAGCAATAACTCTCCAATCAGCCCCCTGCCAACTTTCATTGGGGCCAATTTTTGGCCTTCGGGCGGGCCCCGGTCAAAGAATGTTGTCGAGCCAGAAACGCATGTAATGCCAGCCGACAGAACTCAAACGGCCCTTCAGCCCTGACGATGTCTAGTCGATTTATACCAGTGTATCCGTTGGAATATGATGACCAACCAGCCGGCACAACATGTCGCGTGCGTGTGTGTACGGCGATACACCAAAAACACCCCCAACGTATCTCGCGCCCAAACCTGCAACTATCCCGTCTCCTCCGCTTTCATCGCTAAATTCCCCCCACTTTCATTCGATTAGCTGGCATGCACACACACTCACATACCGGACGACGATGTTCAAGATCAAGTTTACGCGGAAATGCTTCACATTATCAAGTAGGCATGAGTTCCAGTTTCCGGTCCATTTGTATGCGAGTCAACGACGAGGAAAATACGCAAGGGGGCGAAAAGAACACTGTCTCACTGGAGAGGCCCTACAATTACGACACGTACTCGGCTACTGACTGCTGTTGTGAAGCAAGTTGGCTCCTCTGTGCAACAACCTCGCTCCGTTGTCTTCTGCTTACATCACTGCATGCAGGCCGACAATGCACGTTGCGTTACGAGTTCACATGCTCGCCTCGCAGGCGGAGACAGAGAACCCCTCTTGGCAGCAGAATAAACTCGCACGACGATAGCCAAACAAGACTGTGCCGGCATTTTATCAGCCAAAACAAACGTCCAGATGGTCGAGGCTCGTTTTCGTCACATGGCATTAAAGGCTTTGGCGTATTTGATTTCCACTTCTTGGCTCCGTTGTCACGTTACACAAGAGCATCTTTTTGGCGTCACGATCTGTCCGTATTCCAAAACGGGGAAACTGGCTATTGGATTAACACCGGGACTTTTTTTTTATTATTTATTTATATAAATTGAGGACAAAATAGTGTCACAGGTAAGCTGAACCTGGCTCTTATAAGGTATGGGGTTATCCATCGCTCTTTTCAACAAGCCATGGGCTTTATGGTGTTTAATAAACCTGAACGGTTTATTTTTTTTTCTAGGGGACCTATTTGCACCAATGTGCTATCCAAACAAAGACGAAAGAGAACGTGAAAATGTTCGATGAATTACAGTTTAGGTTACTGGAGTCTGTCAACAGGACACCGAACAGACGTAACCACACGATCAGTGTCTGTTATGACCCGCTGGAACTGGAACAACTTGCACGGGGAAAGTAGGGTATGCATAACGAGGCAGGAAAAGGGGGGCCAAACGACGGTGGCCGGCAAATCAATTTCTTTAACCGAGCAGGCCCATGGGCCTTGAGCTGGACCAAGAGAGGGCGCTAGTATCTTAGCACAGGAGGCTCCTTTGGTCGGAACTGAACTTCGCTGGTTCACGAACGCCTAGGAAATGCACGCGTCACAGTCGCATTGCTACCAATAAATTTAACACTCCTGACCAACGCGGCTCTTTTCAACCGATGAGGGGGTGCTTCTGCTCGAGACGGATATACCTGGCTGCTGTTTGTGAACATGAATTATGTTATCAACTGAATTGTTCTTCCGATTAACGCACGGCACAGCCGCACTACAAAAACACAAGTTCCCATTCCACTGGTATAGGAAAATTCTATTGCTCGGTATTCACTTTTGAAATCAAAGATATGCAAGTAACTTTTTCAGGATTTACTCAGTCGTTGTATATGAAGCACTGTTCCACATTCGTGCAATGGAAAGAATACTCATGAGGTGACAAAGGTAACTTAACGGAACATGCCCTCCATTATTCCATAAATATTCCTAATTTTGGATTGCGTTAATCCAACAGTGAAAAACCTTTCTCGCTCATGCTTAGATGGCGCCTAACATTTGTTTAAGAGTTGACACTTCCGATACCTCACCAAATTCCATGTTTCCCACATGCTGTCACCTGTCTTCTAACGAGTTCGGAAAAGAAAAAAGGCGGTTAAAGACAGACGTGTTGCAGAGAAACTAAACTCATCAATCTTTTTATTTGTTGACTGTTGCAATCATTCCTGATTTCATATTTTGCCAATGCCAGACTGATATCGCACCTCGTCAAAACCCAGCTCCATTCATCGCGCGAGTCCTTGGCTGCAACAAATCAATCTCGACTAAACGCCGTTCGTTGTTAGACTGGCTCCCAAGACGCCCTTGGTGCTCCGTGATTTTAACCCTAAACACATTTTCCCTCGGGTTAACTTTCCATGAGCTCCTCGTCCCTAAACCCTCAACTCTCATGTTTCACCTCCCGTGTTTTCAATAAACCCGGCTGTCGGCTTGATTTCGGCCACTTTTTAATTAAACAATTCCATCTGATACCTTTCCCTCTCCCAGTGGATTTTTCGAGTGCACTTCGCGCTGTCGGAAATGGGTGTCTTTCTCGCACAATTCCTGCAATCAGTTTTCACCATGTGAGCTGAAAAGCGAGCAGTTTTGGAATTCTTGATTTGCCACTCTAGACCACTGAACAAACACGACCCTTTGCCGTGCCAAATTAAAGCAATATTATTTAGCGTTCGTTACGAAACCCGTAAATCTCTGAAAATTTCTCACTCTGGTAAGAACGTACAACACACTTGTATTCAGAAGTAAGCCTTTTGCGAACCTATTTTGAATAAAATCTGGTACACCGAGATCTTTAAATTTACGTGAAACGATTTGAATTATCCATATTAAAGACACTGTTGCTACATCTAATGATTTGGGGCAAACTTTTGCTTAGTTACATAAAAGACGCCTCGCACCATTACACACTGTTTTCACTGGATAAGAAGGGCACAAAGGAACCGGTACATTCCTGAGATGGTGGTCGTTATGCAAAAGCTTGCCTTGAATCACGAGGTAGAGCAAGAGTGTCTCTAGTATGGGTATTTATTCAAATTTAACTCGCAAAAGGCTTACTGCATCCAGCGCTATTTCTTGTCCAATTTACAAACAGCCAAAGTATAACGGGAAAGAAACTTAAAGTTCATTAATGGATAGCAGTAAACGTATAAAAGTGGCATAAATGAAGATCTTTTATATTTTTTCTGTAATATTCTCAGGGTTTATCGCTAGGGTACAACGGACATGATGACAACAGAATGAGCACCAAATTGCATTGACGTTTAAAGCATGGAAGAGGCGCGGATAGATCAATAGTAACCAGGTTAGCCTCTGGCTTGGTTTAACTACAGGCGGTAAATGGAGCCAGCTGAAGCTACATTAAGTCACTCATTAATCCAGTGTCAGTTTTTTGTCAAGAACCGTAAAACTGCTTAGGTTTCATCACTACATGCACCAAACATCACTTCGGATGAGGTTTTTTTTTTGGGGGGGGGTAAACAAAACACTAGCTGGTGCCGTAGTGGACAGGCGTTTTTTGACCGGGCCTGGGCTCTGAACTAAGTACATGTAAGTTACCAATCTTTCCCTGCATGAGTGAGATTCACCACTTCTTTCTCGTCGCAAATGCTCTCCTCGGGGATATCGATTTGCACAGAAAACGTTTACCACTACTGGACGTTATGACACATGGCAATTACATGTCTAACGTGCGTGACTGTACAGTCGCCAGGTCCCTTCTATCGCCACTTACAGTGAAAACCAATCAAATTTGATAATAGGTGGCCAAAGCTGGGCCTGGCGAATATACGGTCACGCACGTTGCACACTCGTAATGCTATGCAGTGTATGGCACGCGCTGGATCCGCATTTTAAGCTTCGATTTCTCCATGTATCACGTGATCTCCTTCAACAGCGCCCTCTCCCGGTAAAATTGACATGGCCAAAACAGCAGCGTGTTTTGGTAACCCCGAACCAGAAACATCTTTGCAATGTCAAAACAATAACCTGCAGGAACATGTATAGGGCATATAGACATCAGAAGAATGAGATTTATGGTTACGAACAACCAGAAACGGTTACGTCATCTGACGGAGGCAAGTGCAAGGAAGCAGACGACACTGTTGATGAACATAATTTTCACACAATATTGAGCATGTTTCCCACCAGTGCTACACTCTCTTTTCACGTACGTTCTACAAGAAAGTATCTCTTTGATTCGCTGCATGAAACAACAAATTTGGAAGTGTATAATTCACTCATTTGAGAGGCGACAAAAATTGCCTGTATATTTTCCGCCATTTTGAACCGGCGCTGAATCAACTCCAACCTTCGGTTCTCGTTCGGTCGGAAAAGTGACGTCACAGCGGCATAACCAAAACCGCTTAACCAATGACCAAAGCTGAAACATGTTCATGGTTCGGATCGCCAAAACACACCCCAGGCGAGGAGCACATTTCCCTTTGAAATTCGTTGGAATGATTAGCAAAACAACATAATATTGTGACAGAGAAAGATGTGGTAATTAATCCACATTAATAACGCTTCGGCTTGACAAAGTTGCTGGTGGAGATGCGGGTTTCGAACACATGGTGGTAAACAACAGACGTGTTATTGTAAATTGTGATGACACACGAGACCAAATACTGTCGCCAGTTACTAAGTGCATGACTGTAACGTTTACTGCATACTCAGCTTCTACTGGCACAACAGAGGCCTTGAGATAAATGAAAATGCATTTTAGCCAGCCAATTTGGCGCCTGTAATTAGAGCCTGGTTCCTCAGACAGAAATGATAAAAAGGCCTCGGCAGAAATGTAACAGATCAACGTCCGGAGGAGCTTGTTGGTAAAAGGAATTCCGGCTATTCGACCAGGAGGCTATCTGGCTCTTATCACGGAGGATAAGCCAGCGAGAAAATTAAAAATAGGAAAAAAGTTGATAATCAGCTCACTCTAATTTAATACAAGGTAAACTTTGCACGTTGCAGCTTATAGTACCTATACAAGGTGAAAGCACAGAACAGTCGGTGGTCTGCTTCTAAAACTTGCCAGTGGTCGTAGCGTCGTTGCTTTGTCATGATCGATTACTGTCGTCACTACAGGAGCACAATTAACTATACGGTTAAATAAAATCGTCAGTACACTATTCGGTTATTGTTCAATAGCTTCACGGGAGACTGATAATAGGTGAGATTTATCTTTCTGGATACTCATATGAGATGGAACAATGAAATTACCAGCTGGTTGTTTACGGGAGAGTTTTTGGGTGGCGAAAAGATTTGATATTCAGTGCAAATGACTTTGTTCCTGAATTCACTGCTTAATTAATACAAACGTGGGCCCTTAAAGATTAATAAGCACTGCTTCTTGAGCTGATCTCTAGTGAGATCCCATGCATTTAGCGCTCACCAAATTCAGGCACCGTTCTCTCTATATCGCCGTATATGCTTTGTAATACAAATTGTATTGCCTGTTACCTTGGGTTTTTTATCAACTCGACACCAAGCATGAGACTATAGTGTTGTGTTACGGAGCGAGTAGACTCGGTAAGGCTGTGATAAGGAAACTACAGACATAAAGGTCTGTTCCGTGCTAGCTTAGCTTGTAAATGTTTCCATTTGTACCAAAATGTACTCGCTTACGTTCAGAGTGTCTCTACAATGCACCTGTTTTTAACTAAGACCTCCCAAATGCACCCTTGTGTCCAAGTTAACCTCGTTTTCAACTCTTGCTTCTCTAGTTAAGAGGGCATTGTGCTGCCTTTTCACTTTCTATGCTAATGAAGTTCCATATTCATTAGAAAAATTGTGACTCCCGCCAAGAAAACCCCTCAATGTTACATTGGTTTGTGTTGAACAGAACGTTGATTACTTCACAGATTCTGCTGGCCTGATT